TGCAACCACAATTGCAACTGCAAGCACAATTGCAACCACAATTGCAACTGCAAGCACAATCGCAACCACAGCCGCAACCACAATTGCAATTACAAGTATAATCGCAACCACAACTGCAAGTACAATCGCAACCACAACCGCAAGCACAATTGCAGCTACAACAACCGCAGGTACAACCGCAACAGCAAGTGCAAACGCAATTGCAAGCACAATTGCAAATGCAAGCGCAAATACAATCACATTTAGTTCAACCACAAACGCAAGTAATTACACCACCACTACAACCACAAATACAAGCTCTGTTAGCTTTACCACTACTACTACCATCGCAACCACCACAATTACAGCACAATGGCAATTGGATCTTCGGATCTCAACCATTTTATCCAAATTAACAATTTTATCCAAATCAACCATTTTATCCAAATCAACCATTTTATCCAAATCAACCATTATATCCAAATCAACCATTATTCACAATTCCTTATAATTCTTATCAACTATTATCTCATATTTTCTTACAGCCTTCAACTAATCAATCTAAACCTTTTAGCTTACCTAGCATAAAAGAGTTTTTGAGAAACGTAGATGAAAAAGAAGAAACCGGGCGATACTATTAAGATTTTTTAAAAAAGTTTGAAATACAAAGAGTTTTAGTGAAGCACCTAACAGAATTAACAGATGAAGAATTTGGAGTATGTAGAATAGATACCGTTGGTGCATGAAAAACGCTACGCGAATATGCAAGAAGATACCAACAATTGAATTAAAGCATGTTTAATAGAACCTTTGTTCGTGCTTATCATTGCATGTCACTAGCTTTTGATACTTTTTATTGTAATAAAATTGGTCTGAAATAATGGGAATAGGCATTCGTTATTGCTAAAATTCTCTAATAAATATTTCAATTAAAAATTAGTACTTTTATGGTATTGAAGTTGAAAAGAATAATTATGCAAAATTTTTCAATAATGTAATAAAACTATTGTATAATTGCTATTATGTGCTGCTTAAATTTAATGTTTTAAAATGATAAATACATAGATAATTGAGTTTGACATTATTATGTAGAAGACTATGAATGTTATAGTAATGACATAACTTTGGACATCTAGGCATTGCTTATATATGTTAGAATTAACAACCATAAAGCTAATATGATAATTTATTATATCATCCTTCGCATTTCTTCCTTTGAAGCTATAGTGTTATTTTTAGCAAAGTAGTTGAGTTATTATCATACTCAATAAGGTTAGAAATGTAAACAAAACATGGATAGGTCTTTATTAGAACAATTGTTCAATTGTCATATCTGCATTATAACTCAAACTTATGTATCATTGACTAGAACACGAATCATAAGTAATCGTATATTGTCTAGTGATGCAGGGAATTATTTTTAAAATTGAAAATAATTCCTATGCACTATCAAACTGCACTGTGTGTATTTCGTAAAATGAGATACAGTGTGCTAAAAGAAAATTTGAGGCTTCAATGATATATAACAATGTATTGTATCATGTTGTTCGTATAATATTAGTAAGTATATATTATGTTAATAATCAGTAATAATTATCGCTCTTTTCGAGTTAGTTGGATCGATGAATTTTTTGCAGATTTTTTTTTGTTCGTGAGTTCTGTGAATCTCATATATACATATACTTGCATATAATAATTATTTGTAATTATATAATTGTTTATTGTTATAACATAACAATTAGTTATATGCAGGATATATTCATATATGAAACTCGTGGATTCATGGAACTCACAGACAAAAAAAAATATCTACAAAATTCATCGATCCAGCTAAATCGAAAAAAGCAATAAGTAGTGCGAATACTGTAAAAAAGAAATTTAATTTTTTGTACAAGTCTTATTCTAAGTAAAGGAATCATCTAAAGCCAGGTAGTAATTTATATGCGTCATGTGATTTTTAATTTACGAATTTGTTTAAAAACTACCTGGTTTTAGACGACCTCCAAATAAAGAAATATACCTATTATTAAACGAGTGTTCGATCACCAACCAAGTTACTCTAAGCAAGATTTTCAGCATAACTTGCTTAACTACCCGATACTAAATTAAAGAATACTTGGATGCTTAGCAATAAAGGTAACTTATGCGATAGTAATTTTAAAAAGAAGTTTTCAAATATTTTAAAATATAAATACAACATATGCTCAAGTATAGATTGCAAATTCATATATCTTTACTCCAGCATATGTATTTTTTTACATTACCTATTTTAGCTAATTATTGAAACCTAATTACATTACTAAATAACTATCTTATTTATATCCAGAAGCTTCAAAACATTTTTTTGCTATTTCTGGTGTAATCTGTGTACATGCAACCAACAATAGATATTTCGAATCATTCGAATTCTCAACAAAATAACAATATCGCTGTAAATATCTTTTGATCAAAGAAACTATTGTCTCGATTAGATTGAGATCGGGTGAATAGGGAGGGAGAAACTCAACACATACACCAAAAGCATTCAAGTAGTTATATAATTCTTCATCATGATGAATTTGCGCATTGTCTAAAACCAAAACACTTTTGAGATGAGGATACAGATTTATCTGTGATAACTATAAATGTACAAATATTAGTAATTTTACAAGTTGCATTGTACAATAATATAATAAATACATACTACTTGATTTACTATGAATTCCTTAAATTTAATTTTTGTAAAACTACCCTCAATGATATCAACAGTGATAATTCTCTGCATAGTTAGAGCTGGGCAAATCGTATACCTTATTCCACGTATAAACACTGCTTTCTTTTTAGCCAAAGTGTTTATTTCCGAATATCCATAGCCTCGTGAAATAGATCTTTCGTATTTGGAAAATTCATCTATAAATATAAATTGTTCGGGTCGATATTGCGTACCAACACGTGCCATAAAGGCACTCTGAACAATCTCATTTTATTCTTTTGCTTCTTTATGAAGCTAATTAAAAATATTATATTAGATAAATGCTAAATTAAATAATTGAACAAAACAACCTTTTTATGGGTAATGCCAAAATATGCAAGTGACCTCCATAATGTCGAAATTGATACAGATTTTCCTGTACATCGATCTATTTCTCCAACGAGTTCATCCAAATACTAGTCGACTTTGTCTTTAACGATTTGCTGTAAAATCTGTAATATAAAAATATTATATATAGTATTAGAATAAAGATATAATACATATTAGAATTAATATATAATAATAATTAAGTTATACATACGCTCATATCATTCCTATTGAAAGTTTTTCATGGCCTGAGAACTTGGCGCCATGGGTGAATGACTGAACCCCACTTTTGGTATATTTTTAAAACTTTATTTACCAATGGTTGACTAACATATAAAAGAGATGCGATTTCTCTTTCTGAATAACCATCATAACACAGATAGACAATGCGCTATTTGAGGTCTTCACTGTAGGAACGTGGCATCTAAAAATATATAAAGATAAAAATAAAAAATAAAAAAATAAGAATAAAAAATAAAAAAATAAAAAATAAAAAAGTAAAATAAAAAATAAAAAAAGTAAAAATAACAAAAAGCAAAAAAAAATAAAAATTATAAAGGTGTTATATCTTTTTTTTTTTTTTTAATATTAATGGTGAGACCATGTCTCTAACTTTATTAAAATTTAATTTGATTCTTCTACAATG